AGGAAAAAAAAACAACCATCAAACAAGTCTGTCTGTAACAAAATAGATCACTTTTTACATAATTGCATGCATGGACTTACCTGAAGGATCACAGATCACTGCAGAGACACAAGAGAAGAGAGAACCACATCCATTCATCAGCACAACCTGAACACAGAAATAACGAATTAAGGAAAAACAAGCAGATCTAGATAAATGTAAACACAGTTATCTATCAGCATGGAATCACAACCTCAATCACGAAAGAGGAACCGCCTGAATAATCTGAGAAACGCAACATGAGGTAGGTTTTGAAAAAAAACAAACAGCTGCAATTAACTTACACATCTTAGTTGCTTGTGTTACAAACGCAATAATAAATGTCACAGTGTAACCTACATTGTCAGCGTTGAGTGGCTTTGGAGAGGAGCAGTAGTATGTCAAGAAGTCTGCCACAGCTTTCCTTGTGCTGAAAAAGACGAGAATGTAAAATTGTAAGATGATAATCAAATTTATTTTCAAATACAGTCAAAGTGGCTTTATTTTTTTTTTTTCATTATAATTATAATCTTTGAATCCAGTTGTGGACCGGATTTTTTTTTCATTATCAGTTCACAATCTTTGAATCCAGTTGTGGACCGGATTGTTTGCCCTGATTTGGCCCACGGGTCGCCAGTTGGTGATCTGCTGTATATAGTCTGTATATAGACATTCATATCGATGTCTTACAAGGTGTGTCCTCTCCAGTCTGAATACTGCAACAAGTACGGGTCAATGTACAGCATGTCAGGTTGGGTTAGCTGTAGCAGAAACAGATGTAAATGCCGTTAATTGTAAATGTGGGCGGCATTTTCACAACAGTGGATTGTACCAAAGGTCTCACCCGTTTCTGCAGGAGATCGTAGCACAATTTGTTCTCACTGGTTCCCAAGTTAATAATACCCTAGATACAAGGAAAAAGCAGAGAGCTTTGTTAACAGCCATGATTAAAATTAGTGCAGTCAAATGATTATAACTCTAAATATGATGAGGTAAGCTGTGGATTGATGTTTGTGTTTTACACCTGTCTTTATTTGTCACTAATCCAAATGATGGAATTATTTATGTGCACAAACATCATGAAAAATATGCAAAAGTATAATTCAAAATTTAGCTTCATCGGGCTGGTCGATTTTGTCACAAATAAATACAAAGAAAAGCTACTCAACAAAATCTGTACATCTTACTTCTGGGTTGTCTCTCTCATGGTATCTGTCCACTGCATACTGGACAAAGCCTTCCTGAAGAATGCCCTTCTGCTGTCGGATCTGGTTACCTCTGTTAGACAGGTACACACTACAGCCTCTCACTGAGGTTAGAACCTCATGGGATATTTTGCATTTTGCTTTCTCCGACATGTGTGGTGATGTCGTTGCCATCTCTTGGTTGGAAGTGGCCTGTGACATCACAGCATCCGAGAGTACCTGAGATGTGGAGACAACAGACTGTACCAGTGGTGTGGACACCTGAGGTTGGGCCGGAATAGCAGAGTCGGTCTGTGTCCTAACAGTAGAAGGAGCAGCTCGTCCAGCTGAAAACCATGCCCCAGTGAGCATGCCGAACAGCCGGAGCTCATGCTCCCTCTCACGTTCTGCCCTCCTGTCCTCTCTCTCTTCTCTGTGCTGCTCAGCCTGAAACTCTCTCTCAAGCCGTACCTCCTCTAGAGAGAGGAGGCGCTCTTCTGCTGACTTTTGCCAGTCTAGAAATTTGGTAAAGACTTGATCCAAGCTAGCTTGACCACAACATCTAGCTCCACCGCTGCTGCAGGAAGTCTTTCCACCTCGACGACGCTTCCTCTGCCTCACAGTGGTAAAAGGTGAGGCCTGCTGTTTGGGCTGCTCCCTTGGTACAGGATTACCAGAAGGCTGGGTGGCAGAGCTGGAGAAATTCTCATCACTAACACCTAGGAATATGAAAAACTGTTTAAACAAATGTTTGTCAAATATCCTCTGCTAATACTAAAATAATAATATTGATAACAACAACAATAATAATATGTTTTATTGTTATTGTTAATAATAATACCTGACATTATTATTATTATTGCTGTTGTTGTTATTATTATTATTACGTAATGTTACGGTTTTTTTCCTGTCTAGAGAAAGAGAGCTCAGTGTTTAAAACATGAAAGTCCATCAGAATTTTGCCTGATGGAATGTCATTTGTAACTGCAGTTACATCCAGCCACCAGTAGTGATAGTAGCGCTGTCTCGAAATTAACACAGGAACCGGCACTCTATACAAGGCAAGCCAATAAGTTCACAACTAATTTAATTAACGACAAACAAGAGAAGGCTAAATTCAACTATGGTGGCAAATTGATTGAAACGTGTGAGCATTGTCTTGCACAGAAACATCCATTTTTTTAGGGAAGTTATTGTTAAATGCTTTATACGTACTTTTAATACGGGCCCACTGGTTTTGAGGGCTCAATGCGTTTACTTGGCACTGATGCAGATGGCATGATGTGTTAGCTTTGTAAAAACAATGTGTGCTTCTCCGCTGCTGGATAAACTTCATCTGAAGCTCAATGAGAGGTGTAGGGACCTCTTGTGGTCTTAAAGGTTATTATTATTATATTTTTAAACGTTTAATATGAATGTTTGAAAATAATACCAACTTATTGCATCACTTTCAGCCAGAATTATTTCAAGTCAGGAAAGATCCTGGTTACCTGTGTGCATTATCACTTTGAAGCCAAAGAACAACAGCCATTTCTTTGTATGGTGGCATTTCCAGCTCATTACAAGAGACCAAATCTAAAGTTTAACTTGCCTCTAGCTGTAAAAGTACAGCTCACTCACTACAGAAGGGTAATGAGTGAGCTAACACAACAATCAATGTCACAAAAGAGACTTGTTAGTAAATGATTAGTAAACCTAAGGATTGTAATAGAATTATGTCAATCACTCTTGGCTATAATGATAACAGTTGTAGTCAGATCCACCAACCTGAAGCTGATAGTCCTGCATTTGTGGAGTTCTCTCCTTCATCAAGTGGTTCCACTTGGCCTTGTTGAGATCGCCAATCACTGTCCTGTTCATCTTCTGACACATGACGCATCATTAGGGTTTGAGCGCTTACTTTAGACAAGCTTTCCTCCTCCTCTTCACATTTAATATCAGACGAAGGCTCCATTTTGGGTTGGAGACCAAACAAAAACCCACCCAAGGAGGTAGGACCAAAGGAGCCAGAGATTCCCCGGTGGTGGGCACCGTGATCCAATGGGCTCTGAAACACCTGCTGATTGCTGACGGCTCCTTCCAGGGAGGAGTAAGAAATGGCATGTTGGTTGCCCAGCACTCTGTCCATCACATCATAAAACCTCCAGGACATCGTCCTGTCGTTGTCTTTGATTCGACGGTACTCCACCTTCATCTTCTTGATCTTGTCCCTGCACTGATCTCCACTGCGGTAAATTCCCTTTTCTTCCAAGGTGTGGGCGATGCGATCAAACACACGCTGGTTCCGCAGTGAGCTTTTCAGCTCGATCTGGACCGATTTGTCCGACCACAGCTGAAGAAGTTCCACTATGTCTGAGTCGGTCCATTTGGTGCCTTTGTCGTGCCTCCTGCATCTGAAGTCCATTTTTCTGAAACAATTATTTTTTTTAAACAGTTAGTGAGCAGTTTTGGTTTTGGTGAGCTAATATTCAATAGCACCTTAGACTGACTTGGAGTAACGGACAGAAAAAAATGCTTTCATGTTAAAACAAATCTCCATGTTCTTATAGCATTTTATTTACATAAATCCCACTGCTGTGCCTCCAATACTCGCTACACTGGACATCACCAGGGCTGTGTGCTGAGCCCTATGCTGCGTTCACTGTACTGAACAACCGTGACTGTGTATCTAGTCAGGGGTGTACAGTATACACCCGTGACTACACAGACAATAACATCATCATCAAGTTCATGGAGTACACACCTCTTATAGGGCTCATATCCAATCTCAATGAGCAGAGCTACAGGTCAGAGGTCAGCCACTAGCAAAACAAACGTACGGCTAACTTCAGCAGTGATCAGTGAGACAGAGGTAGAGAGTGAGCTACAATAATTACCATAACCCAGTGCCTAACCTGGTAATTTCATATCGAGTCATTTGTGAGTAATTAAATATTTTAGAAACTATTTATAATTTGTCATACATACTAAACAAATATTAAACATAAATATCATCATAGGACTTTATTACCACTGAACTGTGTTGTTTCATATGGTGCACACACTCTCTCTAACCCGCACTCGTACTCGGAACAATCAAGATTATCATACATTTTCTGAAATTTAAAATATCAAGTGGATTACAACAATAATTGAATACTCCAAAATATATGTTCTCTTAATACTCGTCTTTGAACACTGTTATCGTGAAACTGCTACTCACATGTAACATGCACGTTGGTCGACTCATTATATTACGAATGCATATCAGCCCGGTATAGACCTATTAGGACTAAGATACGTTTGCTAACACCTTAACAGTTCTACCCGACGCAGTCGTAAAGAGACGAATACGAGATGTATCTACATCCGATTTGACTGCGCATGCGTGCTGTCCAATTCCGGGAGAGCTTTGGTCCGAGGTGGGGGGGGCTATCTAATGCGGGATGCAGTGTTTGCGGTCCCAACAGATGTAATTTAACAAATACACCACTAGATGGCAATAACACACAGTCAGAAACAGTGCGCAGCGACTGCTTGGAAATAGGGAGGTGTGTTTGGTGTTCATGCTGGCGTTGCCCGGATATTTTGGGAACGTATTTATAAAATTTGCACCACCACTAATAATAATAAATATGATTTTCTTTTTTTCGGCTGTTCACGGGTCGCCACACCACATCATCTGCCTCCATCTATGCCCATACCCTGCCTCCTTTGCTTTGACACAACCGTCGCCATGTCCTTTTGTCAATTTCATGTCCAATATTGCCACTAATAATATTAACAACAATAACAACAATAATAATAACAAATATTACATATGAATACCCACAACAGTTGCACTTTACTGATGTGTTTCTATACGTAAGCTATTGAGCAGTAGATAGATTGTGGATGTTTAACCATTAAATAACAATAATTATTATTATTGTTGTTGTTATTATTATTATACAGAATAATCTGTAAAATCTGTTCCGTTTTGCAATGATTATGCATAGTATCAGTTCTTTTGTAATTTCTATATGCCTAAGTGTATTAAGAGGTAGAAAATTGAAGGGTGGATGTTTTAGTGCTGTTAATTCAGTACATTAGAAATGATCAACTATGCATCATGTAGACGGCTGCACCCAAAGCTCTCATCAGACTACGCAGTGGCTAGAGAGGCTTTGACCATCCTATTTCAGGTCCCCGGTATAGTCCTTGCTTACTGTTTACAATAAAGAGCATGCACCTACAACCTAATTTATTTTATTTAAATGTTCATTTTCTTCTTCTTTGACTTTTTTGGTGTTTAGTTGCCGTCGATGTGATCACAAACACCCAGGTGAATCCTGATTATTTGCATAAGTAAAAAAATAACCACAGTACAGCATAAATTCAAAATGAATGTAGTCAATAGTGCATTTTACTTGGCATGTTTATGGACGATAACTATATAAAATATATCCATATATATTGACCAGTACATTTTTTAGTTAGGTAAAACTGAATTTTTATTCAAATAATCTATGTTTGCCTCAATACGATTTGGTCATTTTGCCTCATCCGAATGTTTCTATACAGTTATACAAATCGAACGGACTCAGAGTCCAGTCAGCTCCAAACGTGACGTATTTCCTGGCGAGGGCTTTCGTGTATCAGTGGCAGTTTGTTGTCATCACCATCCAATAGTGAGCCGCTGCTACTCTGTGCAGCCACGTTTTCCTTTGGTTGCTCCTTTGTGTGTTTTTCTAACATGAGGTCGCTCAACTTTGTGTGAGAAAATTCACACTAAGTGTTCGCTTGCGGCTCGTGAAGCACACGAACTGGTTAAAACATTAAGAAAGAAGACGCTGGAAGTTGATAGTCTGGTAGAAACCAAACCATAGTGATGGAGGAGGAGGCAGCGGCGGTGACAGCGGCAAGTTGGTTGCGGATGACAAGCCAGACTGAATAGTGGAATTGAGCACTTTGAGGATGGGTGTGTGCACACAGCGTCATTTTTATTGTTGTTGTTCACCGTCGGGTGAGATGTAAAGTTAAGTCAAGCCGCAGGAGAGGAAAGGGAGTCTCTTTCCGGAGCGAGAAGAGGAGAAAAGAGACAGAAGATGAGGGAACGTCACGTCTCGATCTCTGTGGACATCTAAGTGGATAAAGGTAGGACTGAACACTGGTTTGATATTAAAATAATATATATATATATATATACATTTTTTAAATTATTATTATTATTTTATTTAAACTGCGCTCAAAAAGCAGGGAGCGGTAGAAATGTGGGTGGAAACAATGGGAGTGTTTGCCGAAAGCATGAGGGTTGTTGTGGAATAAAGTCTGAGCTTCTGCTTCTCAGTCTGTTGAGAGCTTCTCCACTTGGATTTCTGATTCTCCCAGTTAGGATGTGTACCTTTGTCTTTGTTCATGGAAATGTTGACGTTGATGACATTGATGGTTAATATTATTATTATTATTATTAACATAATTTATCATTTTCCCGTAGCTTTTCTCTTTGACATCTGTATCTTACTTAGCCTGCAGGGTGCTGCCAATTCGCGGAACCCCTCATCACTTACTGTACTTCATTCCTAAGGTGGGAATTGCTGACTGTTTTTCACTTAGTCCTTCTTCTCTCTAAGGCAGTGCTGAAAATCTGTAACAATGTTTCTCTTCCTTGTGGCACAGGAATGAAGTGACCCAGGAGACTTTGCCAATCTCTGTGAAAGCAGTGTTGTTGTCTTTTTACTCCTCATGTTTGTCAAAAGTAAAATGAATGATTTTATCTTAACACGCCCTTTGACATTAGAATATCATGTATGACCACTATTCGGATTAGAGTCTGGGCAAAGATAATTTCTCTACTGATTTCACATGGAACAGAACATTTGTAATTACATGCTTCATTCTGAAAGCCCACATTGGTTTTCTTTGCATAAAATTCCAATTCTGACAAAAGAGATGCATTATTTATTGAGCAAATGTACAAATCAATAATTTACATAGAAATCTTTAAGGTCAACATGTTAGCCAAGGTTTAGCTTTAGGATATACTGTACATACTTGCTATACAACAGTATGTACAGGAATTGAGCTGTTTCTAGTATAGGCAAAGCAAAAACAAGATAACTTACTGTGGACTCCTGAAAAAATACTTTTTACAACAAAATAATACAAATATCAACATTTTAAGTGATAAAAATTCAACAAACCTTACAAAATAAATTAGCAGAGATGTTTCAGAAGACGAGTGTCGAGGGAGAGGGAAGTCTGGGTGTCCCTGCTCAGACTGTTGCCCCCGCGACCCGGCCCCGGATAAGCGGTTGAAGATGGATGGATGGATGGATGGATGGATGGGTTTCAGAAGACTTAAAAAATAGATAAATAGAAAGTGTCTGATGATAGTAAATCAGTGCATTGTTGTGATGTAAATGGATTTGGAAAAAACAGATCAGAGGTATCACAGTTCAGGGTTTGCCTGTGATGTCTGGATGATTAAAGCAGACAAATCTTAAAATTCATAGTAAACATGAAATGTATTACAGGTGGACCCCAATGGTATTGTGTAGCACAAATAATAAGTGTGAAAAATGATCACTTTATGTAAATGATTTACTAATTGATGTCTCCACCTTCAGAACCCCTGGTGGCTATTAGTGGTATTGCATCAAAAGCATGATTTTCTTGCAGTTAAGGGTAAACATACAGACTATTGCTGCATCTAAAAAAAACATCCTATGCAGCTGTGTGTGGCGGTGGGGTTCCTGCCAGTTTGAAAAGAAAAAAAATTAACAATAAATGTCAGTTTGTGAAAAAAAAAATTATGAATACTGACTGTTTTTGGAAGTGAAAGGTGGAAACATCCTACATGTGAGCTGTTCAGAGTTTGCTCAGCATCACATCTCACTGCATTACTGATGGAAAATTCTGGGGAATTTTTTATTTTTAATTCCTCATTCATATATATTCTTTACAAAACAAATATTTTATATTTCATTCATTTTGATGTTTTTTGTGCAAAACCAAAACTTAAGTTAAAGAAAATGTAAATGACTGCAATGGCTCCCATTGACAAGAAATATAGTTTATGTTTCTCTTGCAGCAGAGATGGCAGCTGTTAAATCTGTTGGTTCTGTACATTGCTTATTGCTCTAAAAAACACCTTTCTGCTTCGGCAGACACGTCAAAAGCAATGTTCAGGTGTGCCGAGTTTTCAGCTTTCATCAGGTATTATCTACAAATGCAGCGGATGAAAAAGAAACAGGAAGACAAAGACAGTAATAGTTATCTTTTAACCAGCACAGACAGTGTAAGGAAGAGAAGTTATTTCACACAAGAAACAAAGCCAAGTTTAAGATGGCCCATTCAGACTTAGTTGAATCACAAAACTTACAGAATTGATTACCTCTGCTAGTGGTTACCTCTTGTTACCTTGCAGCCGACAGTAACAATCTTTTGCCAAACTTTATCTCTACAGCTACAAGACAGCATGAGTGAGGACAAGTCTGGCTTTAGTGGTAATAAATCGCTATTACCTTTTCACTTTGCAGTGTGTCTCACATAATCACCACCTCCTGCCATGTCCTCTCTGAGCTCAGGAAGCCTGTGTAGAGTGTCTGGTTTCCAACCTTACTCCAATATATCCTCCTGAGAAGGATGATTTTTGGCTGCCAGTGGTCATTTAAGTTTGTTGAAGTGTTCTTTTGTACAGTGGAACCTCAGTTTAGTTCCTGATGGCCGTTCTTGAACCGAAACGTTCAGAAACTGAAACAATTTTCCCCATAGAAATCAATGTGAAATAGAATAATCCGTTCCTGGACCCCCGACTCGTATAATGTTTCCTCACTTCTATTGTTGTTATGCGGTTGCTGTATTGGTCAGAGCTTTCTCTGCAGTGTGGCAGGGCGCACCCTGAGAGATAGGGTGAGGAGCTCTGTCACACTATCATCCATGATGACACCCATCACCAACCTTTTTGAAACTGAGAGCTACTTCAAGGGTACTTATTAGAGCTACTTCAAGGGTACTTATTAATATGAAGAGCTACTTATTTAAAACAGATTTCCCGAACAAAACTAATGCTGTTCAATCAAGCTCTGGGACATACAATAGCACCCTTTTGACTACCATTTCAAGTGTAACTGATCCAAAAAGAACAGTACAATATTTGACCCTCTTGTTGACTAGTTTTAGAACATACCCCACAGGCACCTTAGGTAATCCATGGGGGCATGGGTGACCCCTGATGTAAAGCATGCCATAAAAAATTCAGTGAAATTATGAAATATCTCCAATATGTTTCATCACCTGCAGGACGACCACCTGACCTTGTTTGCCATAGTAAAGGTAAATAAACACACTCCTGACGTAACAAGGAAATCTAGAATCGCAACGTTCCTGTATTAAACCTTTCCTTCTTTTTTAGTACAAAAATAGAAGTAGCATTGTGAAGCCCCCCTCGCAAAGCAGCGAGTGTGACATCAAAAACAAATATGCAGTACAGAGGCCTACTAATGTTCTTAAAATCTAAATTAAAAGAGTTGGAGAGGAGCCACAAATTAATACCTGTACTCTGCCCTTTTTGCATCCGCTTGACATATCAAAATATACAGCAACAACCAATTACCATCAGGGCTAATTCCAGTTGTTCTTACTGTACATCATCCTCATCAGTATGCAATATCTCATAGTAAATGTTGAGTAACCACTTTACTGAGATTTTTTTTTCACCTATGAGAATGAAAGAAGAATTTAAGGAGAACGATTTTCTTCTTAGGATTGTGAAGCCAAACTATAAATCCCTGACAAGCCTGGAAAAATAGAAGTCACTGGAGTCTAGAGTGGTTTTAATAAATGCAGAAATAGAAAAGAACAACAACACACAACAGGAACACCACAATCCACCACAGCGTTCTGTGAGACCTTTCTTTTCAGAATGGTTTGGACAAATCGATACGCATAGATGCACTGATTGCAATGTTTTTGGTACGAGCTGTCAATTCTCATTTGTCCTTCAGTTGACAGCATATACAACAAGTATTATCAACCATACTCAGTCATAGGTTCTTTCTTCAGTTCAAGTGCTTGGTGACTGGAACGAGGTACACAATGACACTGAGTTACTCTGCAGCCAACTTTCTGACAAAAACAATTGTGTGGCTTGAGCAATAGGTTTAATCTGTATTTGTCCACTGAAGGTTTAAACTCATCATGGACATTAAACTTACGTTACTTGTACAAACATCAATTTTTACTGTTGCTATAGGAGTAATTTGCAGCAGGCTGCTAACGTAGCATGACACGACTTAAACCAGCTTTAATAACACTACCTCAGACAAACAAACGCTGTAGTCGTCTTGTTATCCTCTTGGAGCCTGGCATGTACAGCTGGCTGATGGCATTTTAATTGTCAAACTTGATTTGTCTTTCCAAATGACTTTGCTGTGGCTCCCTCATGGTTAACCTTACTGTTACACCTATCATAAATGAAAAACCATCCGATATTAGTCACTGGCTGGTTGATCAGTGCATCTCTACCAACTTCTTTCGATCAATAGGTCTGTCTATCAATTTCTATTTATATCTCATACAGACCAAAGAGATTTCTAATCATAAATCTATGTTATAGTTTTCTTTGGTGTGTGCTAAACACACCTACTTTGGTCAGAACAGTGTTTAAACGTCCTCAATCCACAACAATCACAATATTGTAGATTTAGACATACCTTATCAATATCTGTGTTTGCCTATCCCTCGTGCTAAAGTCGGTCAGGCCTGTCTCTCCAGCAAACAGAGTACCTATTGATTGAGCTTCATAGACTTAAAGATGAGGGCACAGTAAAGTTATAAAATAAGAGAGATAGTTAAATCAGTTTTCCACCACACAATGCACATTTGTTTCATTGTTAGCCCCTTTGCTGCATGAAATGCTTAGGCATTTCCCCGTGAGAACACTGCTGTTGAGATACTCTAAATCATTTCAGAGGGAATGTGATCTGTAATATTCCAAATGAAATTCTCTGTTACATTCTATAAACCCACAATTAGGTGTTGCTAGGGTTACAGGAGTTCTCTTGATCTCGTGCTTTGAAATCACTTTTTATTTCATATAAAATCATGAGCGCTTGTGTTCTTCAAAGCTGTAAGTGTGTAAAATATTTAAGCATGCGCAGGCATTTGCTGCAGGGCATTAAATTATGTCGGGAAAGTAATGAATCACAGTATTGATTGATTTGTGACTCATCTTCCCTTGTCCTCAGTGTACTCAAATTAAGAGGGGGTGTTGAGAGAACAGAACTCTTCCATTTGCCATCATCTCTCTATTTATTATCTTTCCAGCCTATCCTTAGAGTGTCACAGGGGAGGCTGATTCAGTCCCAGATGACTTTGGCAAGAAGCAAAGAACACCCTGGACAGGTCGCGTCCTATCAAACGAGGACACGGATCAGCAGCTCTATCGTAGGGGGATAATGGTGAAGAGTGCTCCTCAAGGGCATCCCAGCTGTCACTGCTGAGGGAGATTAGAAGATTGCTCAAAATTGTCCTAGAGAAACTCTAAGCAAAGTATCTTAATTAGTTCTACTGTTGTTTTGCAAGTGTTTGTTTTCACTTGGTATTAAAATATTGCCATATGGAGGTCAGTCAGTAGTCTCAAAGAAGTGTTAAACTAATGCTAAGAAAACACACTCAGGAAATCCCTGATACATTTTTTGACGCTACATATTGGCTGAGCACTGAACTGAGCTTCTAATCCCAATAAATGATTTTCTCTCTGCATTTTACTCTAGAGCCCACAGATCTAAAGTAAAAAAGTAAAGTAAAAGTCTCTCTGGTTTGAAGGTTGAAGTTTTGTCTCAGTTTTGGTCCTTTAATGTTTATTGCAGGAGTAAGCGGCCTTTTGTTAACTCCTCTCCGGGCTGTTTTCAGAGTACTTGTTGGGGAGTTGTGTTATTGTGTGCTTGTTATTTTCTGCAGGGCTGTCTGAAGGCAGGGTTACCTCCACCCTCTCTCAGCGACTGCAGACACCCAGCTCCTGTTATTCAGACTCCAGCATAGTATCTAATGAGCTCAGAAGAATTCTTCCATGGGAAGAGTGACAGCCCCTGGCCATGTCTCCACTACCTGTCCTGCTGCGTTCAAATCACATCCCCTCCTAAATATAGATACAAGCAGAGGTATTCAGTGAGATTCTGTTCTTTGAATAGATTACCAAACTAAGCTTCCAGGAAGTGGGTGATAATTGTTTTTATCAAGGAATGTTGGAGACATCCTCTCTGTTCGTAAAGAAAAGCTACATGATTGTATAGTCTCGGCAAAAAAGAAAAAAACTTTTTAGCTGAAAAGCCGCTGGCTTGTTATATCTCAAGTAATTTATTGTCAATAAATGTTCTCGCAGTGAATGTTGGCGTGAAGAGGATTTATTTTTTTCTGGCCTACAAGACATATTAATTTGATGTGACCACTGTACACAGTAGGATATAAAACTGATACCTACGCACAACTGCTGAAAACCCAACCTGGAAGGCTAAGACAGTTGTCAATCACTCTTTTGAAAGTAATACAATTTTGATAACTTGAGTTTGCCTCAAGGGGAAACACATTACATTATCATCTTGGCTGGGATTGGCTTTAGTTCCCCCCGCAACCCTGCAGAGGAATAAACGGCAAAAAATGGATCTGCTGTAGTTGCAGAGGAATAAACGGCAAAAAATGGATGCATACAGTTCTTGTGTTCTCACACATTCTGTGATGTTTTCTGACAGTAAGTTGAAGGTTCCACTGGTTTTTGCTGTTCTTCTGGCAACGTACTGCTTTTTTGTGTTATCATCTTGTGCTTGTCGTCTGACAGCACGCTTAGCTGCTACCAATAATACCATACATACATACAATACCATACATTTTGAGTAAATAGAACGGTATCATGGATTGTCCGAATTATCCTACCCCCGATCTAGCTATTTAATGATTATCTGAACTAATATCTGAAATTAATGTAGCATCCCCAGTGATAACTGAACCTGTGGTAACATTTTATTCTAAAAAGTAATTGTAAGGAAGCTTTGATCTTGCGCTGACACGTGGTATGTTGCCATTAAGTGGATCACATTTTAGGGTCAAGACGTGACTGAGGTTCATATTAGAAACAAGGTCGACAAGACTGCTAACACAGCTGGTTTGCTAGCACTTGAAGCATTTGCTTAAATACTTAAAATTAAATTGGTCTCTTGCTTTATCCTATAATGCCTTTAAAGTGGGTAAACACTCCAAAGAACTGTCAACTTCTGCCGGTTTGTTCTACCTTACTGGAGTAAATATTTCATGGCAAAATATAAATCCTGTAATAATTTTTCTTTTCACAATATTGAGGAGCTGTAAATGAAGCGTGGCTGAAGAGAAAAAAGCAAAACCTTCATTCTGCTCAATCCCCCGCAGTAAACCCAATAAAGTTATCTTCCGGCCTTGTTTTAATTCTTACGTCAACAAAATAGCTCAAGGTAGGATGAGAGAGAGGTCACTCTGATCTGGCAGCTCAGGATTGATTTTTATATGTACATGTTTTGACCTTTTGTCAGCTATAGATTAAAGTAAATAGAAAATCAACTGACGTGGGAGAGTCTGAATATGTCGAGAACACCGACATCCATCAAGAGAATTCTCAGCATTAGTCAGGCAGCTCACAGTGCCCTGCCTGACAAACCTGTTTGTTTCTCTTGTCTTCTGCCAATGTTTTAAGAAAACAGATTGACTGACTGATTAAATAGCGACGGACCTCTTGTTAGTACACATCATCTCATGGTATGTCCAGTACAATTTCTGTATTATTAAAACAATGATTGAAAACTATTATTACTGATGATGTCAACCTGAGCATTAGGTAAAATGAATATGCGTACAATTATTTTCATCACATAACAGAATAAATGCTGGAAGGAAGTCTTAAGAAAAAAAATCCTTTAAAAAATCCAAATTTCTTGGTGATTCATTTCAGCCAAATTTTGGCATCAGGTACATTGTGATGGTTGAGGTTTCTAGATAAATCACCAGTCAGAGTAAATCATTGTAAAGACTAAATACTAATGATACACGTGTTTAAGGTTTAACTGTCATTGTCAAAAAACCTTACTTAATTGACAGTTTATGCTTTTAATTTTTAAGACCTTAAGATGAACATTTGAAACACTCTTGAACATTTAAATGAAAGATAACATTTTCAGTAGGCTTTGTAATATGCACTCTCATGGGAATAATAATCACTTCCATAAATATAAAAGATAATACTAAGAATTCACTTAATAATCACATCCACAGAGAAGAGTTTAGCAGTCATAAAAAAAATTCTATACCTGTCTGCTAAGAACAGACAGATGGGATCGACTCACTGAGCTACTCAAAGTCACTGTGTGGCAGGCATTTAGACCTGGCGTTTCCTCAGTCCAACAGATATACCCTGGTTGATTTACACTCCTTATATCTCATTTGAATTAGATTAAGATACCATTGTGTTTTTCCCTGTCTGTGTTGAACCTCGAGGTTTCTGTCTAGACCCCCTTCTAATGCAGACAGAAGTTCTATTTTCTGAATCTGCTTAGATGCTGTTTTACTAGTATGTAAAATATGCTGAATGGGGTATTTTAATAATTGATAAATAGCTGTACTGTTAATAGAATTCACATGTTCACCCTGTGTGTGCTTGAGTTTTTAGCACAAACACCAACACTGGTACTGCTCCATTACAGTTCAAAAACATGCAGGATTAGGTCAACTGGACACTGAAAATTGACCTCACTTGTAGTGCAAGTGTAAATGGTTGTTTCCATATGAGGTCCTGTCATGGACTGCTGAACAGTCACAGCGTACCCCACCCTTGCCTGTTGACTGCTAGCATCGGTTCCAGCTCCCCACACAACCCTAGAAAGGGATTAAGTGAAAGATGAATAAATGCAGCTGTATATTGGTTTTCCTGAATATCATTATGTGTTGCAGTTTGATTCCTCTGCATATATACAACTGTCATCACATTTTTTTCTAACTGGAAAAATATGATTGAATGCTGAAAAGATTTCTGTTTTGCCATTTGTACCAGAGGTGTTGTTTTTTTCCCCTCTGTGACATTAGAATCTGACATGTTAAGGTCTGTGGGTGTTTTTCTGCTGATGATTCTGTTTTGTCTTATGAATGGTGCTTGCTAAAATTGGGGTAACCCAGTTAGCAAGGGTATGTTTATGTTAATATGACTCTGTCCTATTATCTCCAGACCACTGTTCCACTTCCATTCTGCTGTAAGGTAGAGCGCCTCTGCTCTGCCTGGGAAGCGGTGACAGACGAACGGAGAAACGGCCGTGTAAAGAGTTCTCCTTTTCATGGATGCCAGAGTGGGACTGCTGTACTTGTGGGCAGTCCTTGTCCTCCTGACAGCTGAACTGAAGAGAGCTGATGCTGCAGACGTCTACACTAACACTTGGGCTGTCCAGATACGTGGGGGACCAGAGGAGGCTGATCGAGTCGCCAGGGAGCATGGTTTCACTAACATTGGCAATGTAAGTTTTACTTTACACTGTATCACTTCTTTTTTTAAACTCAAAAAGGTTTTACCATTTGGCTGTTTTATAAAACAGAAGTAGGAATGTGTTTTCTGTCTTAACAGATTTTTTTTGCACTGAGCAGAACTAACAAGACAGAGAACACGGCACACTCAACCTTATTCCCATCTTATGCGAAAAACATGATTTTCTGAAAGATTATAACATTTAGTTCAGTGTTTCAAATGTGCTTTCTTATGTTTTGGTTTTTGTAAAATTCATCTTCAGATGTTATTCCATTACGAAGACGTTTGTGGCTTTTGACAATATAGAGTGAAGGTGTTTTCATTTTAGGTAACATTTTCATGGAATACTGGATTACTGGACATTGGTTCAATCCACGTTACATCACACTGATCTTGTTTAAAGCGCTTGCAACTGAACAGAATAATGCATTATTCTGTAGACTTAGATAGAAATACTCTTCAAACAGTGTATTTCTGTTAGAATTCTTAGGTCTTAGGTTTCCTTGCCAATACATTTCTGAAGTTTCCTTTCCTTTGTTCCATCAAATCAAAAAGAAGCGTCCTACCTTTACACTGCCTAAACAGCCTTTAATTAGGAGGGAGATGAGCACATAGACTCGCTTTGTTTGATTATCATGGCCTTCAGTTAATTGGCAACGGCAGCAGAAGAACAATATAAAAAGAAGGTACAGACACAACTTCCTTCAGGTGGTGTCTATGTGTGTCTAAAAATTGTAGATACCATATGGCAGATTGTTATTTTAACATATGGTTTACAAAGACAACTAGGTCCCAGAGCATAAAAAATTACCAAAGTTCCACACTAGTAGAAGTAAGCTCTATAAATATCTCTTTCCTCCATATTTCCTTTTTCATCATCCTAACCTAAAAACACAGCAATAATATGAACATTGTATTTGAGCCAAGGATCGTCTTTTACATACATAGATGAACTCTTTATATTTTAGACTGTTCTATTTTAGTCTTCCAAGTGTGGCTTGTAAGGGTAGCACAACAGTCATATATCAACAACAGTTTAAAGATGTCCATACAGTACAGAACATGAATGGCAGAGGAGGAAAGTTTCTGTTAACTGCCAGAAACAAGTAAAACAAATCCTAAAATGTTTGTTAATTGCTCAGTACAATTGAAGTATCAAGAAACAGTCATTAGATCTCCAGGTACTGGAAACCTGAATGTTAAAGCAGTAACGAAGAAAAAACAAACCAGAGGATTTGGAGAAATTAGAGAACCGCTTATAACAAAGGACTGACTTTGATTTCAAACCAAAGCTCTCAAGTCAGAAGTTCTCAAGAGATTCTTGAGAGATTGAATGACGGGATCAGGAGACAAAAAAGAGTTTGTGTGATAAATGATTTAACCTTCTTATTGGGAGCTTTTTGGCAAAAATATCTAAGTCCTCAATGAAGCTAGTGTGATTAGATTATTTTCTAGAGAGATGTCAAGTTTTTCTTTGGACCGTTTAACACTGAATCTGACCTTGGAGTACCAATTTCTCAATGGATTTTTTCTTAGCTGTAAAGATGTTTTAGTCTAGTCTTTCTGGCAGTTTCCTTGCGAGACAGTAATAAATATTTCCACAAGTATAAATACTCTCCAAGCAACCAAAAGTTGATGATATGCTATGGAGCATTGGGTGGCTGGAAGGGTTGCATTTAATATTGTCCTGTGGGTGGAATAAGATTTTGCCAGGGAACATCATAAGTCACTGCTTCAGTGAGACATCCAAGTAAGGTTTTTATTTTAATCTATGGTCCCTGAGAGAAAGACGCCATGAGAAAGGAACGATCCATAGCCAGTGTGCAGGGTCTGTGGGACTGGCCTTTGTTTTCTAGTCATGAGTGGCCAGAATGAAACGGCTGAGTAATTTTATGTCATTAATACTATAGGGTACTTTAGAGTATATATTTTTTATTATTGCCAGGGTGTTGGAAGATCGTAATGAATATGATGATTTGTTCGCTTCAGAGCTCAGTGATGCACTTTTGCTTTAGTGTTTGTCGATTTTAAAACAAAAAACAATTTCTGTCTTGGGGACTGCTACTGCCTTTTTATTTTGATATTATGTTTCTTCTCCATCTTAGTCTTATGAGTGCACACTCATTGCTTACAATGAATACTTAAAATATTTAGTACAACATTTATTATGAATGTATGGTGAGGTATCTTTATTATTTGGTTCTGCCATAAGGTTGTTACTGAGACACTATAAAAATAATAGAATATGTGTTTGCTAATGTATGTAAGGAGGGTTTACTAACTGAAGTGTTTCACAGCAGTGATACTATTTATGAAAACGTATACATATTTACGTATATCGTAAATATATATATAGTATCAACAAAGTGTTTACCTTGACTTAGGTGATTAAAAAAAACTCAGTTCCTGTAAATAAAACAGTGCCTAATGAAAACCAACTGAGGCTCTAAAATTTCTATCGTGTTCCAGTCGACTAAGTACAAGTACAGTACACATCTCTGGAGTCGATGTCTTTGCAATTGTTTTTAATCTGCTGTAGTGCCAACCAAAATATTTCCCCACCTCTTTAGAGCTGTGCACCCTCATGTCATGGCATACTGGGATGTCAGTATGATTATGTAAAAATATACTGCATTCCTGATTGCTAAATTACAGTTTGTTGTAGTATTTTTTTCCGTTTTCTTTGATGAGTGGAGTAAATTCTGGATAATTACTCTGTATTTTTTTTTTTCTCACTCATAAAAACCATTAGTAGCAGAGGTATGTAGGCGGTATACCCGCTTATCAGATCTCTTGTCAGTACCTAGCAGTGGCTGGTTTTTGCTCAGGCTGTTGTTACACTAACTAAGTACTTGCAGTGTGTTAACACTGAGTAATCCGTCATCCCTTCCCATCCCCCCACAGCAGATGTGATTATTTTATATTCGAGCCCCAGTATCTCATTACGTTAAATTAGGACTCCAGTGTAAAACTTCATTCTATGACAAGCTGGCTCTGTGAGTTCACCTGCTTGCTTTTTCTCTTTGACATCAAGCAAAAATATATTTGAATGTCAAAGTGACAGGTCCTATGTTTTATTGATCTGGCTTTTGTTTGGCTAATAAGGAATTAACTGTATGACTACTTGTTGACTAGTCTGCTCTGTCACTGCACTGGTTTTTAAGTCACCCTTAATGGGTTGACAATTTGTAAGTAACAGTTGTCGGACATCAGATCGTAATACTGCAGTCCACCGCTTTATTTTTAAATTAGCTCTAATAAGAGACACAGAGCAGACATCTTGTTGTAATCACAACATGCTGCATAATAGATGCTCACAAAATGGAATTTAATTTGAAAGTGACTGCTATTGGCTTTGCACCAAATGATCCAGTTGTGTTTATTGTTGTAGTTGAGTTGTTGAGTTGTAGACTACTAGTGTTATTGTATTGTGTATTGTTATACTGTGTTAAGTCAGTTACTACTGCAACAAATGTACATGACAAAAACAAGAATTTTGAATCCAAACATGAGTTTTGGAAAATTGTTTCATTCTGAAATTGTAGAATCAGATAATGGGATTTATCTTAATTTCCTGGTGCGGGTGGTGGATTTGAAAGACAGACAAATTAGTCTGTTTGTTCATCTGTCAACGCAAGGTTTGTGAAGCGTAAATGTCATCAAGACGTCCTAGTGTGCGCCGGCATTTAAGTTGACACGGAGCTTGTTATATTTGGCTCTTTGTTATGTGCTAAAAAAATGTTTTTATTTGTTTCAATAATGCTTTTGTGCATATGTGGGAGTTCAGGATCAAGGTTTAAAGCAAAATGTCATGTTGTGTTTTTAGAGAGCTGAGTCAGAATCACTGTTTTTATGAGGATGGGCAGGCTCTGTGGGCGTTTACAGACTGAATCATCCTGCTCTGTGGAGTAAACACACAATGTTCACTTTGTCTGTTTCTTTCTTCCTCTGTCTGTCATTGGTATGTCTCCATCTCTACCTCGTCTTTGTCTTCTTTGTCTCTTTCTTTTTT